ATTGGATTAGTAGGTCAAATGATCAAAAAAGTGGTTTGTTGATTGAATTAAGCTATGATTAATTGAAAGCAGTGCAATGCAAACAAGCTAAAGTAAATGAGATGTAGAGAATGAGAGAGGGGTCTTGGGACATAGAGTTTACTACTAGGCTTTACTTTACTAAACATTTAACATTTGTTATATTAGGGGGATTCCATATTGTAAAACAAGTATGTGTGTCATTGATTGATATACTAAGCATGGATGATAAATTAAACATAAATTGTCTAATCAATTTATTGAGTAGTACAACCTATCAAATTAAGTCATTGACCATTCAATAAACCCACAATCAATACACCCATAAAAATCTAGAAAAATGTGCTACTTGCACTCATAAGCATGAACCATCAAATAACAAGAATGGATTGTCTACCTATCTAAGAACGTAAGCTATCATTACACTAATGACAAGGAAATTAAACTAATTAAAATAATGAGGTAGCACAACCCATCAAGAAATAAGTATAGTCCATCAAAATAAAATACAAGAGTAATCAATTAAGCACCATGCATTGACCAATACTAGACTCATTATTTTAATACACGTAGACATGTACCAAATGTAAAGAATCAAGTGTGAACACATAATCATCCATTCCATCACACATAGACATATGAACAGAATTGAAAGATTAATTGGAAACATTAAACCATACAAATCATGTAAAAACAAGATTTATATAAACATGAGGTCAATACAATATTTACAATACAAATCCCCACTAATTATAAAGTATTAAGGTTTATGAAGCAAGCCCAGGCCATCTCTAGCCCCAAGAGAATGATCTAGCCACTTATGGTTGTTGTCATCCAACCCTCAAGGGCTCTCTCCATGGTTGGATTTATCTTCTTCTTTTTGGTGTTCTTGGTAGAAACCCTAGCAATTGGAAGAATCCTCCCCAAAATGTGTCTATTTTCTCTCTCTAATCTCTAGCCAATATGTAACTAACTAACCTATTTACTAAAAATAGCCAATTTCCTAATATAGGTAGCTCAAATATCACCCCCAATGGTCAGACCTCGTGCACTTGGACCTCCAAATGATTGCACCACGAGCACACCTTCAATTGGGCTTGAAATTTGTTTTGGACGAATTTTGCGGTAGTTCGATCGATCACACAGTTACTCTGATCGATCGAATCATGGCGGCGTAATTATTTGGATAAAGACAAAGGTTAAGATATTTATTGGGAAAAGGACAAAAGTAGTTATTAGGATAAGATCAAGAAGTTCGATCGATCGGAGAAAAGGTTAGATCGATCGAATTGGAAATTTTTCTGAGGATAAAGACAAGGGCTTGATCCATTAAGGCAAGGTTGGAACGATCACATTGTGATCGATCATAGCATGGTCCGATCGATGGAACAGGGAATTTTCACCATTTTACTTCCATTTTGCTCTTTCTTTCCACTAGACTTCAGATTACTTCTTTCAATGCTCTAATTGAGCTGATTTGACTTATTTTGGGATAAACACCTAAAATGGAGAAAGACATGAAATTAGACTAATGTGGGGAAATAAGATAGATAAAGGTCCTCGAATACTTAAGATTAAAGGTTTAAATGCGCATTTTTCAACACTTATCAGTATGAGGTCTTCCTAATCATAGTGGTCACTTGGGTAATTCCCTGTAGGTTAGTAGCTCGAAATAACTAATTTGTCTTGGTTGTGATGTTCATAACTGGATTGTTGAGAGTCTAAAGTATCACTAATACATTATTTCACATTTCATTTCCGAGTTGATAGTCTTAGGTACTTGTGACTTGGAGTTTTGATGTTGGATGTTCCAAATTTGTTACATTGTACTCTTATTATATGGAATTCACTTATAATGCATCAATGCTAGTCTTAGGATGATTCCTTAGCTTTCCCTTAAACTAAATGTTTAGGAGGCATGTTCCACATACGTGTATTTTGTGCCATTCTTGTGAGGCCAATGAAAACTTAGGTTATCCTAATAATGCACTTTCCTACGGAGTAATTTAGATTACTCACCCTCATTGATTTTAAATGTTTTCAGGTAAAAAGGTACTTTTCTTGGATGCGCACCATCCTTAGCTTAGATTTAATCTATATTTTGGATATCTTTTGTTTTATGTTCACATGCAAATGTTAGCTTGTTGTATGCACCTTTTTTGGTTATAATTGTGTAATATACTTAGAACATTTACTTAGCTTCCTTTTGATGGGAGGAAATGGATTTGGAACTTATCTTAAATGAGTTCCTTAGTCATTTCCACCCAAGCATTCTCTTTTGAATCAACTTGAAATGTATGTAATGAGGCTAAGGGCCATTTACTTTCAGTGTATGTATATTACGGAACCTTGTATCAAAATGTTTATTTTGGCATTCATGCACTTGGGATTTCCTTTACGTTCATTTTTCCCTTTTGTATGATCGGTTTGGGTAGTACTTCAAGCCCCACAGACATCAAGGGGTGTCAGTTTCACAAACCAGAGGTTTCAGGCCTTAACAGGCCATTTTTCCCCAAACTGGTCGATGTGTACAGATTCACGTCGACCGTTATCCCTACAGTTCACTTTTCGCAAGCTAGGAGCCAAACACGTTGATGTGAAGTCTGTACACGTCGACCGATTTAGCCAAACCAATCGACGTGTACAAGTTTCACGTTGACCAGTTCCTGCTCTTCCTTGCTGCATACTTCTTCTTCTCTTGTGGCTTGCCTCGATGCACTGTGATGACGTGGTTATGTTTCACAACCATGGAATGGTGTATTTGTTACCATTTGGTATATGAGATGACCATTTTACCTTTGTTCTCATTCTTGGTTTGTTTCAACCTTAGTTTTTGTATTATCTTCCATTCAAATCTCATGACTTCTAAAGAGGTTATGTTAAGGACTTAGAGGTAATGTTTATCTCTAGGGACCTTTTTCTTTTTCTTTTCTTGTCTTTTCTTGCTCCATGTTTCAAACTCGATATCGGGTCGGGTTGTGATCTTTCAGTTGACGCACTGGTTTTTAGAATTTGGGGTGTCACATATCTTGCTGTAAGGGGGAGCTTTATTTGTTTATTGTTCCTGCACCATTAACTTCACCTATTTCTCCTTTGACTAATCCTCCTTTGCAGGTTTATCAGAAATCCCAACATAGGCGTGTTGTTTCTTTTAGTCCAGATACCACATCTTCGCCATCCGAGGTTCTTGTTCCTTTTTCTTCCTCCTCTACTCCAGTCACTAATTAATGATCTACTTATTGCATTACGACGAGGTAAGCACAATTGTACTCAACATCCTATTGCTCATTTTATGTCCTATAAGCGTGCTTCACTTTGTTTGTAATCCTTTGCTTGTGCTTTGTCCACTATTTTGGTTCCCATATCTTATAAGTAGGCTTTGTCTTCATCTCGATGGAAACATGCTATAGATGAGAAGATAAGTGCCCTTCATAAGAATTAGACTTGGGAGCTTACTACTCTTCCTCCTGGGAAACAAACGGTAGGTTGTCGCTGGGTTTACACTGTTAAGTACCTTCTTGATGGTTTTACTAATAAGGCATGCTTGGTTGTTAAAGGATACACACAGACTTATGGCATTGATTACTTATAAACTTTTTCTCCCGTGGCTTATTTAATTATGTATAGATCTTACTTTATGTTGCTGTCAAATGTTCTTGGTCCTTATACCAGTTTGATATAAAGAATGCATTTCTCCATGGCTATCTTCGGGAGGAAGTGTACATGGATCAGCCCCCTAGCTATGTTGTTGCTGGTAGTGAAAATCTTGTTTGTCAGTGCTGAAAGGCTCTCTATAGTCTCAAGTAGTCCCCTCGTGCCTGGTTTGATCGCTTTAGTGCAGTTGTACTTGCATATGGTTTTCGACGTTCTACTTCTAATCATTCAGTTTTTGTTCGTCACTCTTCTATGGGTACTATTGTTTTGATTGTGTATATGGATTATATTATTACCTCTGGAAGTGACTTCGCAGGTATTGCTCTTTTGAAAAGACATTTGGGCAAACACTTCCATACTAAAGACCCTTCTTTGTTATTTTCTTGTGATTGAGGTTGCTCGTTCTCGTCAAGGTATATCTCTATCTCTATCTTAAAGGAAATACATGCTTGATCTTTTGTCTAAGATTGGTTGTTTAGGTGCTCGGCCAATTGATACTCCTTTAGATGCCACTAATAAGCTTAATAGTGAGCAGGAGGAACTGTTTGCTGATGTTGGTAGATACTGATGGTTGGTTGGCAAGTTGATTTTTTTTACTGCATGTTACACGGCCTGACATTACTTATGCAATTGGAGTGGTGAGTACATGCATTCTCCTCGTCAACCCCATTTTGACGTTGTTTGTCATATTTTACATTATCTGAAGAGATTACTTAGGAAGGCTTGTATAATCTTCCCTATCTATCATCGGTTTTAGTGATGTTGACTGGGCTGGTAAAAGTTGTGATCGATAATCCACTTCTAGCTATTGTACATTTGTTGGTGGGAATTTAATTAATTGGTGAAGTAAAAAACAAAATGTTGTTGCTGTTCTAGTGCTGAAAAGAGTACCGTGCTATGGCTCTTGCTGTCTCTAGATGTTATAGGTTCGTTATCTCCTTCAAGGTCTTGGTGTTAATGTTCCTAGGGACGGAGTCAGGATCTAAAGCAAGTGGGGGCAAAAATAAATTTTGAGGGGGCAATAGTGCAATTTTTTAGTAATTTTAGTGGGGGCAAATGTAATATTTTATGGGTATATTACTAAAAATAACTAAATTATAAGGGTAAAATACTAAAAAAAAAAAAAAAAATGAGTGGGGGCAATTGCCCCCACACCCCTATATGTGAATCCGTCCCTGAATGTTCCTACTCCCATACAGATGCATCTTGGTATCTTTATTGCTAGCAATCCTGTGTTACATTCAGAGGTTAATTGTCATTTTACAGGGGATTTGCTGATGAAGAAATTATCACTCCTTATGATTGCTCGGATGCTCAACTGGGTGATATTGTCACGAAGTCGTTAGCTCATGTTTGACTTGTACAGTCAGACCTCAGTAGTAGAATTATTTTATTTTATAATTAATTGTTATTTTCTTTAGCTATATTACCACCAGGGTATTATTGTATTTATATTCTCTGATCACTTTCTCTTCTTCTCTCCCGACCCTCTCCACATACCCTTCTCCATATTTTATACTCTTTAACAGTCAACAATAATTCACACGAATGGCAAATTAAGCAGCATTTGGTATTTCAAATTGATTTAGAGAAATCATTGAAGTCCGGACGTCTTTATAGGTTGGAAAGGACACCACGGAAGTAATCATATTTATCTCAATAATTTAGAGGAATTGCAAGGTAGGTTTCCGGATTTCAATTTGATTTAGCGATCTTTGGAATCAGGGGTGTTTATCTATAAATTTGTGTCCTCTGAAAAGTCCTGCGTCTGTAGACTGTACTTTCTCTCTCCTTCCTTGTAAGTATAAACTCTATTGTGATATAATTTTTGGAAATTCATTTGTTTACATTTATACAAATAGAGTTTATATACAACACTTTTGGGATTTGGGTGGCGGGTGCTTTTGTGATTTCTCATGGGTTTGTTGTTATTCTTCTTCTATTTCTGTCTTATAACTCAGAAGCACAAGTTGTCACTATTGATGCATACAAAGCTAAAGTTCTCCATTCCGGACACGGCCGGTTATCTTGATGTCAGGTGAGAAATATTGGTCTTTCTTACAATTCATGTATTTTTTATTTTTATAAAAAAAAAAAATCGTTTTTGGGTTTTTGAATTTAGGGTTTTTCTGATTTTGGGAAGTGATTGAATTGATAGAACTAGAGAAGATTTCAAGAATAGTCATATAACATCCCTTACATGTTCAATACTTCTGAAGGTGATTTTAGAATCAACTCATATAGCCTTTTTCTTTTCTGTTTTTCATTTTTATGTTTATTTTTCGGATTCTGTTTAATTACGTTTATCAGCTTGCAACAAGAATTATCCTCCAAAACCCGGCGACTAATCTTCTCTTCCTCTCTCATTGCCTTCTTCAGCTTCTCTTCCCTGAAAAAGTAGTCACATCGGACAAAAACTCGGTCTTCTTTCCCCCAATCAAAGACTAATATTTTCCTTGTTCCTTTTCCTTGAAACCAACCGGTATTCCATGAAGAACACTGCAAACAATCGAATTTCCAAGGTGGGTTTCGCTTGGAAGGTGAGAAAATTGCTTTCTCTGCTGAGAAACTTGACGATTGGGGAGGGGAAGAAACAGAAGCAACCACCACCACTGCCCATCCTCCCCAACGACATCATCTATGAAATTCTCTTGCTACTACCCAATAAGTCTCTAGCTCGATTCAGGTGTGTTTGCAGAGAATGGAACAACTTACTAACCAGTTCGAACTTCCTCTACAAGTGCTTGCACTATTGTCCCTGTAGAAGAACAAGGCACATTTGCAGAGAATGGAAGAACTTACTAACCAGTTCCAACAGCTCAATGTGTTGTCGCTATTGTCGACTTCCCATGCGGTGTTATTGTCGCAATTGTCGAGTTCCCATGCAAAGACCATGTTTATATTACGGGGAATGCCCATCCTATCCAATTCGGTAAGTTGCTTGAATATATATATATATCCATCTTTTCTCTCCAATTTGATTTGTTTAGTATTTGCCACCATATCACCAATGTTTAATTAGAAAAAATGTACTCTTAAGTCTAGTTCAATATAATATTATCATTACAATTCCTATTCTTGTTTATCAAGAATTAGTTTGTCAACTATCATAATTGATAGATCAAGTTTAATCTTAAGGGGCTGTGGTTATGGTGCTAGACGTTAATCAAAGGAATTAATTGTGCTTAAGGAGAGGAATTGTGTTTCAAGGCTGGAGGATTGCAAAAGTTTTAAGAGGTTATACCTTGGATTTTTGTAAATGGGATTGAGATGGGTAAGAGTGGAGGAAGGTGCAAAGCCTCATCTTGAAATATTGTCTATATGGGGTTGCCAATTGGTTGAGATTAAACCTTCAATCACTGATCATATCAATTTTTTGTCACTTTTGTTTGATTGGAGTCAAACTTACAGATCAGTAGAGAATTTTATTTGTTTGATTGGAGTTAAAACTTACAGATCAGTAGAGAATTTTATTTCTTTTATTCGTTATAAAAACTGATTATGCTTATTTATTTTTAATTTTTGTGTTAGTCATCAATCAGTACGTGTATGTGTATGTGTATATATAGTTTCTAAATCATGTTTGGTTGCTGAGGAAACAGAAAAAGGATTGTTTTTGAGTCATTTGTTATAATTTCAATTGCACACCATTTGTTTGAAGCAATGCCTCCTTATATCTATACACACATATGTATACATTTGTATCTGTTCTGTATAGTCTGTATTTAGTTGTACATGTATCATTACTTGGTGGCTCAGGACTCACCTAAAATAGCAAAAACTATCAGCTGATATTGAACTTACTTTCTTTTTTTTTTTTTAGTACTCTCTGTGACGCCCCTAATTCTAAGACTGGTACATTAGATAAAAGATCACAACCCGACCCGATATCGAGTCCGAAACGCAGAAGCAGGGAAAGAAAAGAGGTTAAAACGAAACAAAAACAAGACGAGGGTAAAATGGTCACTTCCTATGTCAAAAGGGGTAATAAATACACCGTTCCATGGTTATGAAACATCACAACATCATCACAGTGCTTGGTCAGGCCACAAGGGAAGAAGAAAGTGGCAAGGAAGAGCAGGAACCGGTCGACGTGAAAAGCTACACGTCGACGGTTTGGCCAAACCGGTTGACGTGTAGCTTTTCACTTCAACTGGTTTGATTTCCAGCCTGCGAAAACCATATTGAGGAGATACCGGTCGACATGAAAATGCTAGACGTCGACCAGTTTGAGGAAAAATGGACTGTTACGGCCTGTGACCTCTGGTTTGTGAATCTGATACCTTTTGACGTCTGTGGGGCATGAAGTACTATGTAAACCGATCTTACGAAAGGGAAAAATGAACGAAAAGGAAATCCCAAGTGCATGAATGCCGAATTAAACATTTTGATACAAAGTTTTGTAATTTACATACATTAAAAGAAACAGCCCTTGGCCTCATTACATACATTTCAAGTTAACGCAAAAGAGAGTACTTGGGTGGAAATGACTAAGGAACTCACTTAGAGTAAGTTCCAAATCCATTTCCTCCAGTCAAAAGGAAGTTGGGTAAAGGTTTTAAGTATATTACACAATTACAACCCAAAATGGTGCATACAACGTGCTAACATTTGCATGTGAATATATATATATATATATATCACATGCAAATGTTAGCATGTTGTATGCTATATATATATATATATTTTGATAAGTAAAATTCGATTAGAAGATCATTGAAAAGGGGAATGCGTCCCTAATACAAAAAACAAAAATTGGACCCAAGGACCAATAGAGTTCAAAAGATCAACTAAGTCATTAGTCGAGGAGCAAGCGCTTCTTTTCACATAATAGAAAATAGAATGAAGAATATGAATTTTCAAGGTCGCCCAAGACGCTTCCTTTCCTTCGAAATTTTTGTTATTCCTCTCTCTCCATATGCACCACCAAACACAGTGTGGAACTATCCTCCAATAGTCACGAGCGTGACTTTTCACTGGGCGTCTTCTCCACGCGTTAATCAGTCCTATGGAGGACTGAGGTATTACCCAATGAAGCTAAAAATGCTGAAGATGAGGTTTCAACAATCATACGCCACAAGACAGTGCATAAGAATGTGATTCACAGACTCACCGTCTGTTTTACATAGACAGCACCAATTAACAATAGTGTTACCTCTCTTTCTCAAATTGTCCAACGTCAAAATCTTGCTCCATACGGCAGTCTAAACAAAGAATGCAATTCTAAGTGGAGCCTTAGAACGCCATATAGTCTTCCATGGGAAATCATGACCATCGAAATTGGATAAACAAAAGAACATGGATTGAACACCAAATCTACTATGAGTGGAAGGGACCCACAAAATGTCATCACTACTTCTGCCAACATCCTTCTTCTGATACAACAAATTCAAAAAGACACATACCTCGTCCATCTCCCAATCCTGAAAAGAACGCCTAAAACGCACATTTCACGTAACCCCATTGCTATCAAGCCGATAACAGTCAGCTACGTAGGCGTGCCTATATTCGGTAATACTATAAAGTCTAGGAAAAGAATAAGACAACAACTGATCTCCACACCATAAATCCTCCCAAAAGTGGACACGCCTACCATCACGAACCTTGAATCTGATGTGTGAGGAAAAGACTCCGAATAAATTTCCACACCCTGACGCCTCCCGCAGCAGAGACTGGATGGGAGGACCAGCCACCACTCTCCTCCCCAAAACGACACAAGACAATCCTTCTCCACTGACGATGTCGTTCCCTATCGAATCTCCATAACCACTTTCCCAATAAAGCTCTGTTAAAAAAGGAACCCACTTTCGGATGCCTAAACCGCCTAACTTTAAGGGTTTGCAAACTTGTTCCCAATTAACAAGATGATACTTGAACTCTTCCCCCCTTTCACCCCATAGAAAGTCCCTTTGATTTTTTTCAATCCTTTCAGCGACAGAGCATGGGATTTGAAACAAAGATAAAAAATAACTAGGAAGGGACGAGAGAGTTATCTTAATAAGAGTGACCTTTCCCCCCTTCGACAGATATTGTTTCTTCCATCCTGCTAACATCTTCTCATACCTATTGATCATTGGATCCTAGCTCCCCACCCTCCTAGAGGAAACCCCTAAAGGCAATCCCAAATAAGGAAGAGGAAAGGCACCCACCCCACATCCAAGAACTGCAGCTAAGGAGGAAATATCTGGAACATCCCCTCTCAGGATAAGTACACTCTTTCTAACATTGATCTTTAGCCCAGACACCGCCTGGAAACAAATAAGAATGCACTTCAAATATCTAAGTTGGGAGACATCGGCATCACAAAAAACCAAGGTATCATCCACAAACAGCAAATGGGAAATCTGATGAGCTACATCTCTGCTGACTTTGAACCCGTTGATATAACCCAAATCTTCCGCTCTCCACATTAGTTTGCTTAAACCCTCCATGACTATAAGGAATATAAAAGATGACAAGGGGTCTCCTTATCTCAAACCTCTAGAGCTTGCAAAGAAACCAGCAGGAGATCCGTTAACAAGAATAGAGAACATGACGGACGAAATACATGTTTCGATCCATTTACTCCACCTATCTCCGAACCCCATCTTTTGAAGCAAGTAAAGGAGGAACTTCCAATTGACGTGATCATTGGTCCCTCTTCAACCTGGAGTCTATACATTCTCCTGCTATAAGAACAAAATCCAAGATCTGCCATCCTCCAACAAAAGCATCCTGGGACTTTGAAATAATACCATCCAATACATTACTCATCCTAAGAACAAGAACCTTGGCAATAAGCTTGTACATGCATCCCACTAAGCTAATTGGCCGAAAGTCCTTAATATTAGAGGCACCACCCTTTTTAGGAATGAGGGCAATAAAAGATATGTTTAATGACTTCTTGAATATGCCATGAGAATGAAATTCCTGGAAGGTGCCCATCACCTCACTGCGCAACACCTCCCAACTCTCCATAAGAAACCGTATAGTAAACCCATATGGCCTTGGAGCTTTATCACCATTGCAACTCGATAACGCTTTCAGCACTTCCTCTTCAGAAAATGGAACCTCAAGCCTATCTCTATCCAGCTCAGAAATGGTATTAAAGTGGAGACCATTAAGCTTAGGTCTCCACCCCAACGTCTCAGTGTAAAGCTGTTGGTAAAAAGAAGCAATCCCCTGGCGCACCGCATCCTCTCTCCACAACTCCGACCTATTCACACAAATACGCCCAATATGATTACACCTTCTATGAGCATTAGCAAGCTTGTGGAAGAATTTTGTATTGCGATCCCCCTCTTTAAGCCACAAAGCCTGAGATTTCTGACGCCACAAAATCTCCTCCATGGTAGCGATCTCAGCAAAAATCGCCTGACAAGAGGCTCTCTTAGAGCGCAAAGACTCTACATCCTCAGCGATATCAGCGAGAACTCTATTCTTCTTCAAAAGATATCCAAATATATAGAGCAACAAAAGATGTGAATATGAAACGAAAGATACCCAAAAATATAGAGCAAATCCGAGCTAAGGATGATGTGCATCCAAGAAAAGTACTTCCTTGCCTGAAAGACATTAAGTCAATGAGGGTGAGTAATTTGAATTACTCTGTAGGAATGTGCATTATGAGGATAACCCAAGGTTTTATTGGCCTCACAATAACATGAAATGCATATATGTGGGACATGCCTCCTATATGTCTAGTTCGAGAGTAAAGCTAAGGGATCATCCTAGAGCTAGTATTAAGGCATTGTAAATGAAATCCACATAACAAGAGTACAATTATTACGGTTGGAACATCCAACGTCAAAACTCCAAGTTATAAGCACCTAATATTATTAACTTGGAAATGAAATGCAAAATCACATATTAAGGATACTTTGGACTCTCAACCATCTGGCTATGAATATCACAACCAAGACAAATTAGCTATTTCGGGCTACTAACCCGCAGTGAACTATAATTGGGGAGACCTCATATCTCCCACACTAGAGCCGAACTCTAGCCATGCCAATGTAACAATGTCCCAAAGTCTCCCAAAATCAACAACCATTCTTACAATATAGCCACATAGTCAATGCACAAGTCTCAATTACCATGCACACATAAGATGTTAGGACCAAGCATTACATGTCCTAAGTCTTCAATCTAAACATGGCATGATATCAAGTTACCATACAATGCATATGCTAAGGATAAAATCAAGTAATAGAATTATATCATGCTAGCACTTTAAAGTCTCTTAACACCTTTGTTACATAGCCACACAAGGATTATGCTAATTCCTAGCTAGTTAAAATGGCAAAAACTATAACAATTTAATAATAAGCATCTCCAATGCAAAATGCTATATTTCCATGCCAAATCTATATTTTGAGAGGAGTTACAGTGTCAAAATGCTATATTTTTGCAATTCTGCTCCAATGATGCATTTCATCCAAAATGCTATTTTTTGACACAACAACCATTCCATATTTTGAGAGCCCATTGGAGTGCCTTATTTTCATTTTAGCAACTTTTGACAATTTCAAAATATGAGAGATCTTTTGAGAGCCCATTGGAGTGCCTTATTTTCATCCACTTGCTATATTTTGAGTTTGAGAGGCCATTTGAGAGCTGCTATATTTGGCCAACTTTTGACAATTTCAAAATATGAGAGGTCTTTTGAGAGCCCATTGGAGTACCTTATTTTCATCCACTTGCTATATTTTGAGTTTGAGAGGCCATTTAAGAGTTGCTATATTTGGCAAACTTTTAACAATCTCAAAATATGAGAGGTCTTTTGAGAGGCCATTGGAGTGTCTTATTTTCATCCATTTGCTATATTTTGAGTTTGAGAGGCCATTTGAGAGGGCATTGGAGATGCTCTGTATCTCAAGGAAACCAACATTAACTGTCATCTTTCTAGTTAAGCATAAAGTTTTCAAGACATGAAACCAAGCATTTGAACGATATACATATATATGTACCTAAGTCATGGAACACATCGCAAAGAATCTACCTACAACTCACACAACACACATGTAGTCCATGATAAACAATAAAACTCAAGGAAACTCCTAGGTTACAACCATACTACACCCCCTACCTCACTAGAGAAAGCCTCTCTAGAATCCAAGCAAAAGATGTGCAATGGGAAATCCAAGAATAGATCCTTGTAGCCCAAGATGCAAGCAAGCCTTCTTCCTTTTATGGTGTGAGCAAAAGGTGAGAGGAAGAGGGAAGAACCTAAGCTCTAAGGTATGCAACAATGGTGGCTTAGAGAGAGAAAGGGTGAAGAAGATGAAGTTACAAGTATCAAAGGTGTAAGGCATATGAAATATATCTATACACTAAGTTGTCTTACACTACCTCTCTCACACACATACTCATCCTAGCCCTCCACTTGTTACAATTCTAAGCCTTCACACAAAACACCTTATCAACCTTACACTTGGCATCATCCAAGCGCTACACATGTCACCAATTAAGTGCTAACACATGGTCCAATGAAAAAGAGACACTTGTCCCAACTTTTCTCTAATTGCACAAAAGTCTCTCTACTAAATATCTCCAAAAAATAATTACACAAAGGTCCCTAAACGAAATATTTCCAAAAGATAATAAGCATAAAGACCCCCTAAAATGAAAATGTCTCCAAAGAAACCTAGCACATATACCCTTATGAAAATGAAAATGGACAAGCAAGTAATGCTATACACGTGAGTCATGCTAAGAAGGTAAAATGCACAAACATGAATGCATGAAGTGTTAGGAGTCAATTCCGGACTCTAAAACCCCACCTTGGGTTCTCAAAACCCCAAAGCCACAAGAAGGAAACAAATAAATAAGTAAATAAATAAATAAATAAATAAGTAAATAAATAAAATAAATAAATAAAAATGTACTAGAAAAGGGAAAAAGATGACACGGTCATCACACTTTCAAATCACTTCAATATATATTAGCCGTCTGGTGCAAAACCAATGAGAAAATTCATGTCTGTGACAAAATTCATCCCTACTACATTGTTTAGGTGATTTGGGGATGTTTGAGAGGCAATTACAATTCATGTCTGTGATAAAATTCATTTTTGCACCCAGAGAGAGAAGACATAACTATATAAATTAAAATCTTAAAGGAGGTAAATAGGAAGGTTCAAATACTATAGTCTCAGAGTTTGACCACCTAAATATAATTTGATCTCACCCAGCATATGAGTGTCCTCTTCGAACTCATACTTGGATAATAGACTCCAAACCTAAATGTTCAATGAGAAAATTCATGTCTGTGACAAAATTCATCCCTACTACATTGTTTAGGTGATTTGGGGATGTTTGAGAGGCAATTACAATTCATGTCTGTGATAAAATTCATTTTTGCACCCAGAGAGAGAAGAAATAACTATATGAATTAAAATCTTAAAGGAGGTAAATAGGAAGGTTCAAATACTATAGTCTCAGAGTTTGACCACCTAAATATAATTTGATCTCACCCAGCATATGAGTGTCCTCTTCGAACTCATACTTGGATAATAGACTCTAAACCTAAATGTTCCACCAACCTTGAATTGGTTTTCTACTGTGATTAAGAATATGCTATGCCATCAGGTATATGTTTGAGGAGGAGGTGCATCATATATATATTGAGCATCTAATCAAACTTCAATCACTCAGGAATGTTGATATATGTGCATCGTGAATTTTTTAAGAAGCCAGATCAAAGAATAGCAGGTGCAAATTACTGGAAATTACATAGCTCATATCTCCAATTTTCAGATTGGAGTATTTCAAAATGATTGCTGAAAATCTGTAGAAACACTATATTAGTTTTATCAAGACAAGCATAGGTTGGGATCATCATCACTATATTAGATATATCAAGAACACTAAAGCAAGAGGTAGCCTCACATGGGAGAAGAGAATAAATATAGTTCTTGGGGTTGCTTCTGCTCTTATATTCTGCATGAGGAATGTGAGAGGCGGGTAATTCATAGAGATGTGAAGACTTGCAATATAATTCTTGATGCTGAGTTCAATGCTAAACTTGGAGATTTTGGTTTAACAGAAGTTTATGAACATAGTTCTTTAAGTACTAGAGATGCTACTTTACCAGCTGGAACAATGGGATATCTTGTTCCTGAGTATGTCTATATGGGTGTTCCCACAGTGAAAACAGATGTGTACAGCTTTGGTGTGGTGGTGCTGGAGGTGGCGTCAGGGAGGAAGCCTGTGGATAATTATGGAACTCCGGTTGCTGATTGGGTGTGGGACTTGTGGGAAAAGGGGAAACTAATTGAGGCTGCTGATCCTAAATTGAAGGGGATGTTTAATAAAATGGAGATGGAGAAGTTGCTCATGTTGGGACTTGTTTGTGTGCATCCGAACTATGAGAAGAGGCCAACGGTGAGCGAAGCAGCCAAGATTCTCAGAGGTGAGGCACCACTCCTTCCGCCATTGAGGAAACCCACGGTGAGCATTCGATCTGTTCTGCCTGAGGGTTTCGGAGAAATACTTAATTTTGGAAGAGATGAAAATCATCATGTGGATGACACGCCCTGGTTGACACCTAGGACCCATTTTTAGTTTTGAACTTTGAACTTGCTTAGGAATGACATTAGGCCTGAAATGGAAATCATGCACAAGCAACTGCTTTTGCTATTACAAATGCTTGGACCTGTTTTTCAGTTTTTGAATTCCTTTCTTTATGTTTTTGAATATCAAATTCTACAATGTTCCTTATGTTGCTGAGATAAATGATCATGACAAGCTTTAGTTATGTTATGTTGTGTGTAAATAAGATCATACAATTTACCCAAAAAAACGAAAAGAAAAAGATTGTACAACTATGTTTTGTATCATATTTGAAGTAACTCCATTTTGTTGCAAGTAGGATAGAAACAAGTTTGCTTCAATATGGAAGCTACCTGAGATAAATCAGCATAGTCTATTGGGTGTTGCCACAATTCCTTGTTTAAATCTCCTCCTGGTTGTGGACACTGATAGCTTCTCTGTCCTCATTAGACAGTTTCAGTTTAGATTTTAAGTAGTGGAAGAGACTGCCTACTGAGACCTACCTTTGATGCTGCTGAACTATGAGAAGGGGTAGACAGCAAAGGAAGCAGTGACTATCGCTCAAAGGTGCAAGTGTTACTTCTCATAGGCAGCACAAAACCGACATTGGGGATTGGATATGTTCTACAAGACTAAGGAAAACATCTTCATCAATGAATAATTGTGTGCGCAATTAACTGCATTTACATTTATTAAACATTCTTGGTTCTTAATTTCAGTTGAGACCTTTGGAGATGCTTCAATTTATTTCTTCAGATCTTAATATTGCAATGAGTCCCATCATTCTTTTTTTTCGGGTATGTTTTGGTTGATGGATTTTTAAGATCATCGCACAAATATTTGCATAGTAGTATTTGAAGCAGCTTTAAATGTTGTGTGTAATGTAGAAAAAAGATTACTTGACTGTGATAATTACACCTGAGCAGGTATACTGTTGAGTGTTGCCAAACACATCAGTTCAAAAACACTTAATGCTGCTCTCTTTCCATCGTAACAGAGAATTGAGAGAACGAAAGAGGTTCTTTCCCTCTGGTAGAGCAGCAAGAGATTATGCCTTTGGATACTTTCAGGATGAAGAAGCGGACAGTGAATGAAGAAGCCAGCAGGGAAATCTAAGGTAATTATTATTGTAACATAATGGATTTGGTAGAGATGATAGTCCTTGTTTGGATGACTTACCATATTCTACCCCAGATACTAGTGGTATGAAACTAATGTTGTTGGCATTAGACATTCTTGGACTGTCTGTTTACTGATATCCAGTATGATTTTTGGTTTCTTGCCTCTAAATCGTGACATTATTAAGATATCCTAAAATTGATTTTATAACAGTTCATTTGAAAAATTAACAGTGCCATGTGGTATTGGATTAATCATCGTTGTGTTATTACTCTGAAAGTAGGAGGAGTTCATTTTATTATGCATAACATGAAAACAGGCTAATTGAGTAATTGACGGTGTCATTTGAGGTAACTAATAAAGTCTATTGTGATTGCAGCAGGACCCTACACGTTTTTCCTCCACAGCTTGAAAGTAATGTCCAACTGATTTTGCCTATCCCTATTATGAAATGAAAACGAGAACTAACATTCACAAAAAGTAATTGAACATGTCTATTTCCACTTTTGTTTTTCTTAAGTCATAGTTAGTCTCTACATTAAAGCAATCTAACATTAAGTACACTCTACTTGATGTGAAATTAAACTCTTTTTCAAATTGGAAATGTGAATTGGAAATGTGCTTTTATTTGATATCAATGTGTTTTTGCCTAGCCTATTATGAATTGGAAATGTGTACTATTATTATTGGCAATTGCTTCATTTCCGGATTTTTTTTTTCTTTTTAAAAAAAAAAAAAAAAAAAAAAAAAATTTGATATATCCAAATACTATAGACAAGGTAGAAATTTTTTATTTCCATGCACCATCCAAATACAAATTTTTTTAAATAAAAACAAATGGTACCTTATGCCATGGGTTGTGTGCTTGTAATCTGGCCTAGAAGCTTAAATTATAGTTGGTGCTAACATCCGCCCTTATATGCTTAACCATCTCCATTCGGATCTGATATGGGATAACAACTTATGACTTTATCACCCACCTAAACCTTCAATGATCTTGTTGAGGTTGGTTCACCTTAGGGCTGCAAGTTGGGCTGGCCCAACCCAACCTCAACCCGAATCGAGTTAGGTTGGGTTGGGTTAACCCGAATTGTACCCAACATGGGTTGTGGTCGTAACCCGAATCGAATTTTTTCGGATAGGTTGGGTCAGGTTGACGGGTTGAGTTTATTTATTTATTTTATTTATTTTTTATTTATTTATTTTTATTTATATAATTTTTTATTTTTGGAAATTTATATATATTATATATAGATGTATATGTATATTATTATATATATATATATATATATATATATATTTAGGGAAAATCGTTTCAGCCTCCCCCTCTCTCATCTCGTTCTCAACTCTGAACTTGCCTTCTCTCTCTCTTTCTCTCTCTGCAATTGCAAAGTACTAAATTTACAAGAATCAGAATTTCAAAACCTATATATTTCAGTTTATCTATCTGTTGCAATAATCAAAAGTTCAAAACCTATTACCTATATGAAAACCCATATCGGCATATCATTTCAAATTGTTCAAAAAATCGAAGCCCATATCTTTCAGCTTGCCATCAACCCCCAAAATATATATATATTTATAAATGGTAGTGTCTGTTATAGTGACGGGTTGATAATTTTGGAAGCAACATTTTGAAGTTCTAAAAATATGTATATATATACATGGTAGTGTTGAGTACGAAAGGTGAAGAGTAGAATCTCTATTTTGGGGGGATTAGATTTTCTGAGAAATTAAAACAAAAAAGCTCTATTTGGAAGACATTTTGTGCAGAAGAAGATTGTAGATTACCCAAGAGGTAGCAGAAAATGGTAATTCCCTTTTTCATATTTCGGCCTCCCCAGTCGCCTCCACCTCCAGGTCTCATTCTCAACTCTCTCTCTCTCTGCAACTACAAACTACAAAATCTACAAGAATCAGAAGTTCAAAACCCATATATTTTTCAGATCTGTCTGCAAGAATCAAAAGTTCAAAACCCATATATTTCAGATCATTTCAGATTGTTCAAAAAATCAAAACCCAACCCAAAAGAGAAAGAGAAATATTGATGATGACCAGAAGTTCTTTGAAAATGTAGAAAGAGAAAGAAGAGAGACCGAGAGAGAAAGAGGAAGAAGAGAGAGGAGAAAGAAGATAGAGAAAGAGGCGGTGGATCTGAGGGACGGCGGTGGCGGTGGCAAGGAAGGCGGCAGAGAGAGAAAGGAGAAATATTTTTTTTAAATTTGGGTTTCGGGTTGGGTTCGGGTTGAGCCCGAGACCAACCCGAATATGTCTGGGTTTTGACAAAACCCAACCCGAACATAACCCGATTTGTAAATTGTATATCCAAATTTCAAAATTTTTGGGTTCGGTTTGGGCTGGGCTGGGTTAGCCCGCCCAAGTTGCAGCCCTAGTTCACCTTGCCTATTCGTCTACCCTAACAGAGGGGGACCCGATAACAACAGGGATACCTTCGTAGGCACTTGACTGATACTAGATTAAGAATTGAGCTCGCTCTGACACCATTTGTCACCAACCGATGCTTGTAATTCGTTTCAAAAGCTTAAGCTACTCTATATCCAACCGTCCAACCATGAATCAGTTCATCTAAAACTAGACAACGTTTCTACTCTCCACCACAATAGCCTAAGCCTAAATAGCGGTGGAAATTGGGTGTGTTTGGGTGGGTTTTGAGCTGATCATGAATGGGCAAGTCAATAATGAGTCAATAACCCTTTATCAGCCCATTTATAGTGGGTCATAAATGGGTTGGGTATTAAATGGGTAAGTAAACCCACACCCAACCCGATGCCCCAAATACTTTTAGACACAAATTGTCTAAGAGTTATTTTGAGTGTTGAATACCAAAAAATAAAAATAAAAATTTCTTACATTAATTTTTTTATTTTTAAAAAGCGTTATGCTATGTTATGTTGTGTTGTGTTGTATTGTGTGTAAATAAGACATACAATTTACCCAAATATATAATAGATCATACAATTATGTTTTGTATCATATTTGAAGTAACTCCATTTTGTTCTAAGTAGGATAGAAACAAGTTCGCTTCAATATGATGCCACAATCTCTTGTTTAAATCTCCTCCTGCTTTTGGACACTGATATATAGCTTCTATGTCCTTGCATAGTATTTGAAGCAACTTTAAATGTTATGTAAATCAGAAAAAAGATTACTTGACTGTGCTAATTACCTGAGTAGGTAGGTATATTGTTGAGTTTTGCTGTTGGATTTAAAGGCATGCTTAGCTTATATATATATATATGTTTAGCTTGCCAAATTATAGTTTATATATATTGTATAGTTTATTTTATGATTTAAAGGCATGCTTAGCTTATATATATATATATATATATAATGTGAGAAGATAACATGTTAATTAGTGGCTTAGGGAATTATAGTTTATATGCATTTTATAGCTTGTATGATGATTCAAAGCCTTGGAAGTATGTATATCTTGTTTTAGGTAAATTGTTTAATTTCCTAGGTTATTCGATTTTAGAGACTTTTCATATTAGAATGATAATCTCTTGCAAAATAACACATTTAGTTACCTTGTGAGTATGTTACTAACTTGTTATAGAATTAGTACTTGTAGCCTCTTAAAATGGTAATTTGACTTAGCATGATATATGATATCATTGTCTTACATTACTTATTTAAATATATCTTGTATAGGTATATAGCTTATTTAGAATATCATAATTGATTACCTTGAAAGTTTGTTACTAAATTGTAGATTATTTAGTACTTGTAGCTTAGGATGGTAATTTGGCTCAATTGTTGTAAAATATTATTGTTTTATGTATAAATTGCATATTGAAGACTTGACATGTCATATGCCATTTAGACTTGAATTCTAGGACATAGTTTGTGTGGATTCAACTTTACTTGTGCATGGAACGTGGTTACTTGTATTGTTTATTCGTAAAGTTATGAACTTGTTGATTTTGGACAGCTTTTAAGGACATAATATATGTGATGGCTAGGGTTTGGCTCTAGTACAGGGACAAGAGTCTCCCTAAGTCATAAGTGCGTACTAGGCAGTACCTTGTGGGTCGTAATTACCCAGAATAACTTGCTTGGTCTAGAGACCACGTGTCCGAGTCTTTCCACTATTTGATTTTGCATTCAATTTCCAAGTTGTTAATCATGGATTACTTGTAGCTTGTAAATTAGTACTTGCCTTGTATTTAAATCTCATTAAGTATACTTGAACTTATATACTTGCTTCGTTCATTTAAACTCCAGTTTGTATACTTGAACTTGTATACTTGTATGCCATGTATATCAATATTGTTTAGTATACTTATGAACGTATGCTTGTTTATATTGATTATTTAATTTTAATATTGTTTAGTGTACTTATGAACGTATACTTGTTTATATTGATTATTTAGTTTCAATGTTGTTTAGTGTACTTGGTGTGCATGCTTGTATATTGAGGATTTAGTTTTGAGATAGCTTAGTATACTTGTGCCTTGTATTCTCACCTTACATGTATTTCAATATTAGTTGTATACTTGAGTAAGTATACTTGCATATTGAATATCTTGATTAAATAGTGCTTAGTATACTTGTAAATGTATGCTTATATGTGGTGTCTTGCGTTTCAACATCATTTTGTATACTTGAGCATGCATACTTGTATGTTGTCTTTCATTTCAATTGCTTACGTAGCTTGAGAAGATCCCTTAGTTTACTTTGGAACATAGACGTTAGGAGGAATGATCCCTTGTAATGGTCTTTATTGAACTTGCATGGTATTTGAAACTTTGGAATATACGCATGCACTTCTTCCTACGAATAACTTGTTTACTCATCTTCGATGTTGGGATATTTTTTAGGTACGGATACCTTGGTATGGGATGCACAACATCCCTAGGTCACCTTGTTCATTTTGATGTATTTTAACGAGCATGCAAGTGTTAGCATGCATCGTTTTGCCTTTTTAAGTTGTAATGCATAGTTAGATTAAAAATGTCATTTTTGCCTTGAAACTTGTAACGTGTACTTAAGTACACTTTTCAACATTTATTTCATATATATGATATGAGGTCGGGGGCCAAACTTCATTTGAATTACATGTAAACACTTAAATGTGGAATTTTGCTTTAGATGAGAATAATATGAAAAATCAAGGGGTTTAACATGTTTTTGCACCGGAGTGTGCATTGTGTATGTAATTTACTCTTTGATATTCATTAAACATATATGAGGTATGGACAAAGACCAAACACCACTTTGTTCTCATTTTTGCATTTTGGATTCATATGTTCCTTTTAAGGGCAGTATTAGGAAAATCCGACGTTTTAGTGGTTCATTTTCACTTCGGGTGGTGCAAAGTGTGCACCAGCACACTTACTAGGACTCATTTAATATGCATAACGTGTGGCCAATGGCCAAATGATCTTTTGATTGCATGTAAGTTCGGTTGTTGCATGTTTTATATTTAAAGGGCATTTTTCATGAATTTGAGGTTTGATCGGTCATATTTTGCATCGGTGGTATTTTAAAGCCGTGAGTCATTGTAGCGTGTCCTAAGAGGTATATTACGTTTGCGTGCATGATTGTTTCCATGAAAAACCATTTCCTTGGCCTCCTATGGACTCATTTCACATTTTCCTTGCATACTCTGGTTTAAAGGGCATTTTGGGTGTTTCACTTGAAAAATAAATGTTGGTTGGGGGGGGGGGGGGGGGGGGGGTTCACTTCACAACTTTTTTCC